GACCTAGGTGGCTGCTTAGATGCAGGATGTGAGGAGAGGTCTGTTCACATCCAAGACACAGAAGCCTCCCTAGTGCCCAGGTGACACTTACGATGGCCCTCCTGGTGGTTTGAATGTGGGACTGAGAGGGACACTGGATGGAGTCGACCTGCGCCCCTGGAAGGGCAGGGCTGGGTCTGTTGGATCAGAGTTGCCTCTGTGGATGGGACATGATGGGAAAGAGGAAATGGGGGTGACAGTGAGGACTCAAGTCTGTTCTCTTCTGTTGGGGAAGGCAGGCCCTACCCTGAGAGATGGATCTTCAGGTCGCACTTGTCCCTTCATTTTGCCTTGTGGGACTTCATTTGCCTTGTGGGAAGGATGGGAAGATGGGAAAGCCTCTAACTCCAGGCATGAGTCCTGGCCTGGAGGAGCTGGTAGAATAGCCCAGGGGATCAATTGAGACCATCTTCCTGGGGGATCAGCTGGGAGTCTGGGAGCAGAATGCTATGTTCAGGAGGTGCTCCAGTCTGGGTGATGGGTGTGGTCAGGCACCAGCATCAGAAATTAGTCACGAAAAGTCCCCACCACGTTGTAGGCAGAGACAGTGGCCTGAGGCAGGGGCAGGAGACTCACCAAGAGGCCAGAACAGGCTCTGAGCCTCTCTGAGGCCACACTGTGGGTGCAGCATCAGCCATGCAGGGAGTTGCAGTGGATGTGCCAACAACCCTAACGTCCAGTCACGTGCAAAGGGCTCACAATTTATAAATTAGAGAAGAATCAGATTGTCTCTAACAACATTGTCACTCATTGCATCTCTCTTGGGCAGACTAGAAATGGGTAGAGAGACAGAGATAGAGACATAAGGACAGGTGTGCATACACAGAGGCGCTACGTGAAGACATCGGAAGAAGACAGCCATCTGCAAGCCAAGGAGAGAGGCTTTAGAATAAAACAACCCTGACTATGCTCAGTCCTCTTCTCTCCAAAATTGTGAGAAAATAAATTTCTGTATTTCTGTTGTCAAAAAAAAAAAAAAAAAGGATACCAAGCACAGAACTGTGGTTATTAGAGGTGGGAAAGGGGAGGGGGAGGAGATTTGGCAAGAGACCAGTTAAGGGTCACAAAGATTGATTACATTTCATAAACATGAGTATACTAATTATCTTGATTTGATCACCACACATTGTACACATCTATTGGTAATCGATTCTATGACCCACATATATAATCAAATTTTAAAAAGGGCAAATAAACAGATGCTATGAAAGGGCATATAAAAGGGGAAATCTTAATAATAAATACATTTCTGAAAAGTTAAAAAAAAAAAAGAAAAGAAAAGAAAGAAAGGAAAAGAAAAGGGAGGCTTTTTCTGCAGTCCCTTCTCTGTATCCTCCTTTCTGCAGCCGCTGAGAACGAGCCTCCCTGAGACACTGTCCATGGTGCTGACGCCCACGAACTGCAGAAGGGCTTGGGAGTTGTGATCTTCTGGTCACTTCTGCGTTCTTTTGCTGTTAACAACTAAGCATTATTACCAAGTAGAAAGGGCGGGGGTGTATTGGGAGTGTGAGGTACCCCTCATCTCCCTCTCTCAGGACCTAGAGCTACGATGAACGCCACTGCTGGAACAAACATCACAGTCAGGATGACAAACTTCACAGTCAGGATGACCCTGTCCAGGTGCTCACGTGCAATTGGTAGTGAAAGATGATGATAAAGTAGTCTTGGGCCGACCTGTGGCTCACTCGGGAGAGTGCGGTGCTGATAACACCAAGTCTGTGGGTTCGGATCCCATATAGGGATGGCCGGTTCGCTCACTGGCTGAGCGTGGTGCTGACAACACCAAGTCAAGGGTTAAGATCCCCTTACTGGTCATCTTAAAAAAAAAAAAAGTCTTGAGAGGTGTGGTGGACAAAACAATGGCCCTTCACATATGTCCACATCCTCATCTTTGCGATTTGTGAGTATGTTGCATAGTAAAAGAGACTTTGCAGATTAAATGAAGAATCATGAGATTGAGAGATTATTGTGGTTTATCCATGCAGGTTCCATATGATCACAGGGTCTCTTCCTTAAAGAGAAACAGAGAGGCAGGAGAGTCAGGGAAGGAGGAGGAGATGCGAGGGTGGAAGCAGAGCACAGAGAGATTTCAAGGTGCTGCACTGCTGGCTTTGAACATGGAGGAAAGAACCAGCCAAGGAGGCAGGCGGCCTCCAGAAGCTGAAAAGGTGAGGAAACTCTCCCTTGGAGACTCCAGAAATAATGCAACCAAGTGGATATTTTGACTTGTGTTGTTTTATTCTGCAAAACTTGTGGTAATTTGTCACAGCAGCGATAGGAAACTAAGAGGCCTGGCTTTGAACATGGAGGAAAGAACCAGCCAAGGAGGCAGGCGGCCTCCAGAAGCTGAAAAAGTGAGGAAACTCTCCCTTGGAGACTCCAGAAATAATGCAACCAAGTGGGTATTTTGACTTGTGTTGTTTTATTCTGCAAAACTTGTGGTAATTTGTCACAGCAGCGATAGGAAACTAAGAGGCGTCATCTTGTCTAATCTAACAATGTGTCCATGTGGGAGAAGGAGTGACTTAGAGCTCAATCATGATGTGAAACTTTGCGGGTTTTCTTACCTCTCATTTCATGACAAACAATGCTCAGGCGATGGCAGAACATCCTCGTGAACTGTTCTTTATGCTTCAGTGTCCAGACCTGCTTGCTTGTGAGAATGTGGGCCCCTGATCCAAATGGAGCTACATGAGGACGTCACCCTTCCTGGGGGCTCTCAGGGAAGGACTGAGAACTCCTGGTCCAGCTGTGTGGAGGAAGCTGCAGGTGGGGCGTGGGTAGCAGGAGGGCTGCCTGAGGGACAGCTGAAGGAGGACATAGCCAGTCCTGTTGCCTGGGGGGCCTGGGTGAGTTTTAGGTGGGGGAGTGCTGCGCCTCTGCCCTGCACACTCTTGTGTGAAGAGGAGGCTTGTTTCAGTGAGATCGTCATCAGGAGCAAAGTGGAAACTGACGGGAGGTGTGGGGCTGGAGGTCCTGGGCAGTGCCTGGGAGGACCTTGCTCAGGCCTGGATTCTGGGTCTGTGCCCACCTTGCTTACTCTGACAGCGACTCTCTGTGTCCTCTTAGGGTTAAGATCTCCTGAGTTCTGGCCTTTGAGACAGAGGAGGAACCCAGTGTCCAGGGCCAGGCACCCTGGATCCCTGCAGTAGAAATGAGGACAACTGATCACTGTCCAGGAGGGGCAGGAACCTCAACTTCTCCTGCACATGGTCCACCCCATCCCCACTCCCAATATCCAACTCCTGTCTCCCAGGGAGGAGAGACTGGAATGGGGACAACTTAGAGATGATATTTTCTCTGTGTGACACAGGCAGGACTAGACCTGGAGTTTTCAGGTGAATTTCTGCTAAGTTCCCATGAGCAGGAAAAAAGCCAACGAAGGGAAGGATCCTCTTTATTCAGATCCTTTCCAGGTGATCTGGGGCAGAGGGCAGTGGTCACAGGCCCATTTACCTTTCTTGGATGCTCCTTACTTCCTGGTGGGATGGGAGGCCTTTGTCCTGACCCATCCAGAACCCAGGACAGCCTGTCTGACTCTCCAGAAATCCAGGAGGGACCCCCAGCCCCGGCCCAAGGTCCCAGAGACTTCTCAAGGCTCAGAGCTGGTTCTCCAGCCAGGCTCCATGTCCTGACCCCTCCACGGTGTCTAGGGTCTCGGGGGACCCTCCCTCAGCCCATAAGAAGAAGTTCTTGGAGGAAACTAAGAAGCCACATCTGTTTTGTGGTTGATCCAGCAGTAAATGTTTGTGTCAGGGTTTAGTAATTCCTGCAAAAAGAAAGAAGAGGCCTCTGACCCCTGTGGCCTCCTTAGAGCCTGGTCCAGTGTCTCCCAGGCTCTGGGCCACCCATGGCTGCTCTGTGGCTGAATCTGGCTGTGCTCAGGAAGGTTTCTTTTCCCAGGCCCCTCCTTCTTGTCCTCCCCACCCCCCGTTCCCATTTTCTCCTGTTTCCTGAAACTCAAATCTCACACAGGTGTGGGGTGGGGGCAGATCCTGGGTCTCCCTTGGGCCTGTGAGACCAGAACATTAATCACCCACACTCACCTCATAGATGGGAACAGCTGCCCTGGGGCCGGGTAAAGGGTCCTGGGCAGGGGAGAGAGATCAGATATCAGGATCCGATGGGGAGGGAGGTGCCAGGGCCAGGCCTGGAAGGTTCTTGTCTCTGACACTCAGAACTGATTCCCTGCATCTGTGTTCAGTCATTTCCCTTCAAGAGTGACCAGCTCTGCCTCCTGGGCCCCAGCATCCAAGCCTGGGCATAACACCCAATCCCTGGCCTAGCTGCATCCACCCCACATCCTTGTAACCTGGGACCATGATAGATGCTCCCAGCATCAACTCTGCACCTGCCAGACTCCAGGGATCTCCTCAGGCCAATGGAGGGGACCCAAAGTGGGCTCAGGATAGGGTATGGGTGGTCCTGCCCCTGATAGAAGACCTAGTTACTAACCAGAGCTGGGCTAACCTCTTCCTGGCCGTTCTGTGGGTGGGTGTCCTGTGCTGGGCCAGAGTGTTGACAGTCTCCCTGCCCTGGGCCTGCACAGCTGGAATCCCCTGTATGAAGGTGCTGGGAGGGGATGGGCTTACCAGCGAGGCGGAGCTGTTGGAGGGACCTTGGCCTGGGGAGCAGAGACAGGAGTTAGAACCTAAAGTATACGAAGAGCCTGGGCCCCCTCATCTAGGAGGGCCTGGGGGGTCCTCAGCTCCTGGAGAATCAGGAGAGAGGGAGCATTTATTGGGGTGGGAGATGGTCCAGCCATTTTAGGGGCCAAGTGAGTGAGTGAGGCCAAGGAGGTGACTCGTGACCCAGACCCCACATATCAGGGCTGACCTGGCCAATGGGATCCCCTGTGCTGAGTGTTTTATGAGAAGCCTCCTGGAAGCCCCAGGGAAAGGGTTAGAGGCCCCTGGGGTGGAGTGACTGGCAGTGGGAGACATGGTGGGGCAGACCTAAGGGCTCTCATCCACATCCAGGGTAAACAGGTGCTCACCAGGGTTGGTCGCTGGGGGCCGGAGCTCTCTGAGGTCACGCTGGACGCTGGTCCTAGGAGAGGTCAGACTTATTTGTGATGGGTTCAGAGTTAAAAGTCACAACTCTGGAGTTAGAACAGGGGCAAAAGGAGAACGTTATTTCCAAGGAGGAGCATGGAGACCCCCCTCCTGCCTCAGTTCTGTGGTAGGAGGTTGAGGGCCCAGGAGAGGGGGCTGAGGAAAGGCCTTGAGAGGCCTCATCTGTCCTGGACCAGAGGGGGAGGGCCCTAAGGCATATTTGAGCCCAGGAGATCTTTGATGCCAGGACCCAGGAGAGGGATGGAGGACCCAGGTAAGGAGTCAAACCTTGAGGGTCTGACTGAGTACAAGGTCAAGGCCCTTGGAGGAAAGCAGGGCCAGCCATGTGTGCAGGACCCTGGACAGCCGAATGTGTCCTAGACTCTCCTAAACTTGGTGTTCCTGCTGTGGCCAGACCCTCCACTCAGGCCAGTGGGTGCTGACATGTGACAGTGGCCCTGTCCTCTATCTCCACCAACCCTGGCAAGAGACACATAAAGGACATTCCAGGTCCTGCCATCCTGGCCGGGCCCAGGTCCTCCCCGATTCACCCACTGGGGGCTGTGGTTAATGCACCAGCTGTGTGGGGGCTGCTGACCTCACCAGCCTGTCCAGGCTCTTGCACTCTCCACTGTGGGACCTTGGTCAGGACCACCCCTCAGACCCTGAGCCTGTAAATCCCCCCTCACTGGGTGGGATATTGAAATAAACAACAGGAGGTGCCGTTTACCGAGCACTTACTGCCTCCAGGCAGTGCTGTGGGCTTGCCCCTCCCCGATTCACCCACTGGGGGCTGTGGTTAATGCACCAGCTGTGTGGGGGCTGCTGACCCCACCAGCCTGTCCAGGCTCTTGCACTCTCCACTGTGGGACCTTGGTCAGGACCACCCCTCAGACCCTGAGCCTGTAAATCCCCCTCACTGGGTGGGGGATTGAAATAAACAACAGGAGGTGCCGTTTACTGAGCACTTACTGCCTCCAGGCAGTGCTGTGGGCTTGCTGTGCGAGGGAACATGGACAACACGAAGGGCTGGGTCCCTAATTGTGCCTAATTCATAGAGGAGGAGGAGGAGGCTGTTGTGGAAGCAGCCCAGGGTCAGCAGCGGTTGAGGAGGAGCAGATGGGATGAGAGGGAAGGATCCAGGGGAGTCGGGAAGCCATGCAGAGCCAGACCCAGAATGCGAGGACGGGGTCTGCTTCCTCCTGGCCTGGGGCAGCCCGGGGACAGGGCATCTGGGTGGCGGACAGCCATGGTACCTTCCAGTCCTTGTGAGGAGCAGGAAACATCCCAGGGCGGCCATCAGAGACACCCCGACCAGGACCCCGGTCACGATGCCGGTGATGGTTCCCACAGGGAGGCCGGGGGCATTTGCTTCTGCTGAAAGGAGAAGAGAAAGGGTCGGAGGCCCAAGTCTATTCCAGGGGAAACCATGGGGGGCCTTGAGAGATGGGGCCCGGGAAGGCAGGAAGGAAATGCCTCCGAGTCTGCGTGTGGTTTGTCGTGTCGACATCACAACGTCCTCGACTCTGCCACTGCAAGTGGCTGCTTCATTCTGTTTTGAAACCCTGGACTTGCTCTGACTCTTCACCTTCTCCCGTAAGTGTCCAGGGTCACGTCCTTTGCATTTTCCTTTTAATTCTTCTTCCTCTCACGTTATGCCTCTTCCCTCTGTTTCTTCTTTTCCATCACATGACAGTCTTAGAAGGCAGGCCCTAACCTGTCAGCTCAATGCTGATTACTGACATTAATACTACTCGGCTGCTTTCAGGTGACTTCTATGTGCCAGGCACAGTCGGAAAGAATTTACCCACATCTCATCTGATCCTTCCACCACCACGAGGCGCTGTCATCCCCATTCTGCAGATGACAAATCTAAGGCATTTAGTGCTTAAATACATCAAGGAAGATTACAGAGCTGGAAAACGATAAAACCAAATTTTTACCAAGTTCCGCTTGATTTTACAGCCAAGAACAACAGTGTTACTAAACGGAAGCCTACTGGTTGATATCACTGACTGTGCCCTGACTCTGTGTCTGACCCTCTTCTAAGTGCTTTAACAAACCTCCCAACAAACACCCTCAAAACAACCCTGCGATCCAGGTGCTACAGTGTTTTTGATCGCTAGCGTTTCTTTGGGTTCTTTACTGGAATGTCCACCTCTCTGTCCACATTGCCTGTCTGTTCTCACACGTTGACTACTTTTTCCATTACAGCCCTTAGCTTATTGATCAGAGTTGTTTTAAATTCTCAGTCTGATAATTCCAACATCCCTACCATATCTAGGTCTTGTTGTGATGCTTTCTCTGTCTCTTCAAATGGCGTTTCCGCTTTTAGCATGCTTTGTCATTTTTTGTTGACAGCCAGACATGATGTCCTCAGTAAAAAGACTTTGGTAAGCAGGCATTTAGTGGTGTGGTGGTAAGGTGTGGTGGAGGGCAAATGTCCCATAGACCTATCATTAGGTCTGTGCCCCTGGACCGTGAACTTCACGTGTGCTTCACGTGTGCTTCTCAGTTTTTTCACCCCCTTGGGTGGGACATGATGGCTGGATGGGGGTTGGGTATTTCCCTTCCTCCAGGTCATCAGGTTGTGTTAAAATCTCAGCAGGTTAGGCTCTGGTAAAATAACTAATTTTTAAAAATACACCTGCCTCTTAAGGGCAGGTCTGACTACGGAGAACAGATGCTCTGGCATATTTAAAATGGTGACTGGACCCCTCCCCCTGCAGGAAGCATGAGGACATTTTTATCCAATATTCACTGTGAGAACCTGGTGGAGGGTCTCAAAGCAAAAGTGTGGGGGCTCCGCCAAGACTGATTCCTCCTCTAAAAACCCTGCCACAGCCTAGCAGCCCCAGAGTCACATGAGATCAGCTTCCCCCGGGAGGTTTAGGAACAGGCGGTCAGAGGGATAGAACATGGGTCTCAAACCCTGGAGGGGCAGGGAGCCGGTAATGCCAGCACCCCCTGGGATTCTGCATGCAGATTCCAGTCTCAGGAGAGATTATGGATCATTCATTCATTCATTCATCCATCCACTATGCGTTCCCTCCATCCATCATCAGAGAACTAATGCGCGTCTGTCACACATGGGGTCCTGTGCTGGTGCAGGGTGTGGAGTGGGCAGTGAGAAAGCAGAGCCCTTTCCTTCATCCTCCAATGGGAGTGACACCAACATATCAGGAAACAGATGATTTCGCGTCTAGCGAGGGAGGGCGTGGGTCAGCCGCCTGAGGAGGGAGCCTGGACATTTCCAGCACTGGCTCTTCATTTGCTCCTCCCTCCTCAGATCAAAACCTGCCCCTCCAGGCTGTGGATGCCTAAGAAGAAAGGATCTGAACCAACAGCTGGTCTTGGGGTTTGTAAACACCTAATAAGGCCCCAGGTCGAGGAGAGGATGGGGCTGTGGCTGCAGACAGACCTTGACCTGCCTCAGATCTGCCACCCATGGTCTGTGTGTTCCTGATTCAGTGACTGCATTTCCTCAGCTTCCGTTTTTCTTTAGCAAAATAGGATAAATGGTAAATGGCATCTGGCTTGCTATGATCTCTGTGAAGAAACTTTAAAATATTCACAATAATCTGACCTAAAGCTTGGTATAAAGGAGCTGCCCAAATAAACAGCATCTATTATTATTTGCCTCCAAGAGAGGGTTCCTGGGGTTGGATCCCTTGGGGACAAGGAGCTGCCAGAAGCATCTTCTCTCCTCTGTCCCTCCCCCAACCCCCCTAGGTGTCTCCTTAGTCCCTCATGAAGCCAGCTAATGGCTTTGGGAACTTGTCCATCTGTGGTCTCCATGGGGAGTCTCAGGAGAAGGATTGGGCTCTGCCCTTGCCCAGATGTGGCTCCTGACGCTGAGCCCTGGCTGGTGACCAGCTCCAGGATCTTGACACTTGGGCAGCTGGTAAATTGCTGCTCCCAGTCAGCCCTGCCCAGTAGGCCAAAGTGCAGCCCTGTCCACAGGCTTCCCAGGGTCACCTGGAGTCAGGAGCTCTGGGACAGGATTTAGGGGCTGGGGCTTCCCGGGGCTGAGCTTCTCTGTGAGGATCCCAGGGAGCCCTCAGGCCAGGCCCTGACTGAGTCCTGCAGGGTCTTTCTCAGGGTCATGTTCTCAGGGAGTGGTGAGGAGGGCTAGACTGAAACTGGTTTCCTTCTGCTGAGTTACCTCATCAGACTGTCCTCTCTGCAGTGAAAGTCTGTGGGGTCTGGATTTGGGAAAGGAATTCTGATCTTTCGAGATTTGTTTCCACAGTTTGTGTCCTGTACTAAATGTTCAAACTCCAACATGGGATATAATGTAAAGGGGGGAGTGGACACAGTCCTGTCCTGACAGTCCTGTGTGTGTGAAGTAGAATTGACCCCACCCCAACACCCGGAGGTAGTAGAGGAATCACTTACGGTGTACACGGAACTGTCCAGATACTTGGTCAGTGCTGAAATTTGCATCTATGGTTTGTAGTGTGTAGTATCCTGTGTCCTCCAGGGAGACATTCTGGAACAGCAGAGATCCATTGGGGAGTATTGTCTCTCGACCACTGTATACAAGTCCCGGAATATTTACTTGAGTGTCTATTACAAATGCTGCAATCAGATAGATATCATGTACCCTTTTTCCTTTGTACCAGAAATAGGATTTAATATTATCTGAGAGATTGTAGACAAGTAGAAGAACATCCTGCCCTTCAGCAGCATTGAACGGCACTGATTCAACAGTGAGTTGTGCAGTGGTGGGCAGGTTCCAGAAGGTTACAAGTGAGACTAGGAGGGAAGAGAGAAAAATCAGTCAATACTGGAGCCTCTATATTGGGATGGAAAGTTGAGGCTATTGGTCCTGAGCAGATCTCTTCTTCCCTCAGCCTTGGGGTGTATCTGTGTGTATGAGTGTGTATTCCTGTGAGTGTGTGTGTGTCTGTTTGTATGTGTGCATGTGTGTGCATATGTCTCTGTAGGTCTCTGTGTGTATATGTATATATGCATCTGGGCATCTGTGTGTGTGTGTGCAAGTGAGTGTGTCTCCTACTTGGTCAAGGTCAGCAGCGTGACCTCCATTCCTTCAGAGCCTCTGAACTTGTCCTTCCCTCTGTTTGGAACACTCTTCCCCAGTTTCTGCAGGGATCACCCCTCACTGCCCTCAGACCCCTGCTCATATTCAGGGCGTCCTTGGGAGACAACTTCCCTGACCTCCTCCTCTAGGGTCACTTTCTGACCCTTCTCTGCCCTGTTCCCTCCATGGCTCTTGTCAACCCCTGACCTCACCTTCTAGATCTCTTTGCTTGTCTGTCTTCCTCCCCACTACAGGGTGAGCTCCGTGAGGGCAGGGCCTTGTGTGATCTTTGTTGTACCCAGTGCTGGGAACAGGCTGCAGATACCTGTGGATGAACTGATGAGTGTTCCCGTGGTCCTGTAAATCCTGGTGTTTGTCAATTTCTGAGGTCGGTGGCTGAGGACATTGTTGAATTCCCTGGTTGTTTTTATTTGGATTGTTATCCTGACATAGTCGTTATTATCACTTCTCAAAGTGAAGTGGCCCGTGAAGATTAACTTGGAAAACAGAACCATTGAGATTTTTATGCCCCTTACCAGTTCGAGTTCACTGAGAGGATCCTGTTGCAGCCTCCAAATGGAATCCCTATGTTCTCTCTCAGATCCGTGTCCTTCCCAGGACACCCCAGCCAGTCTCTGTGCTCCCATCCTCCCACCCACTCGCAGGGAACCTTCCCCTCTCACCTGTGAGCAGGAGGCTCTGCCAGGGGCTGCGCCCTCTGCGGGGAGGGTTTGGGGGGGGCCTCATGGTCTCTGCTGCCTGCTCTGTCCTCCCTCTGTGGAGAAGAGCTTCGGCTCCAGAAATGCTCACAGCACTGAGCTGGGACGGGTCAGCTCTGCTGTCCTTCCTCTGTCTGAGCTGAGCCTCCTCCCAGGGTGGAGCATTTCCCAGGGTCACGTGGGCTGGGGGCGGTGTCTCTGCTCAGGAGGCCTCTCTCTCTCCTCTCCTCTCAGTCCTGCCTCCCTGGTCCCTTCTTTCTCTTTCCTTGTGTAAATTTAGCTTTTCCCAACCACACTTTGAGAAGCAAGTCTGATGGGGACCTCTGTCCCCTTAGAGATTGACCCCCACACCCCGGCACTGACCTTTGCTGTGTCCTGGCCATGGGTCTGTCAGTCCCACACAGAGAACATCTAAGATATCCAAACCTGGGGGATTATGTCTCTTTGTGACATAGAAACCCAATTGGACACCTGAGTTCTCCCAATTTTGTGAAATGTGCTGGGAATGTTGGACTTACTCCTAGAAGGATGTGACAAAGTCGACTCTGGGAATTAGAAAGGCCAGATGAGTGATGACTGGTGAGGGGACCCACCCTCTATCTCAGTATCGCCAGCCTGACCTCTGATGCAGGGACAGAGACCCACGAAAGGGTCTTAGAAGGAGCTGCAGGTCCTGGGAAGAGAGGGGTGGTGGTGGGAGGTCAGGTGCTGTGGGCTCCGTTGTCCTTAGGGAAGGTTTCAGGGAGACCCTTCCTCTTCCTCTTCATGTTGTTGGCTGAGCTGTGGCTCAGGGCCTGTCCATGTTCTTCCTGGCCATCCTGGGTGGCGTGTGTCCTCTGCCAGGCTGACTCTCCTGTGGTCATCCCACCTTTACCCATAGGTGGTGCCAGGAGGGAGCAGGAGCTACACAGCGACCCCTGGTAGAGCAGGTCCTCAGAGGCCTCAGGAAGGAGCAGGAAGGATAGAGCAGTTATGTGGGAGGGACCCAGAAGGGTCTGTTGGAGCAAGGGATGGAAATCAGGTTTCACCTCCACCTCCTTTGCCAAAGCCAGGCTCATGTCTTACTGGAATTAGTTCCTGAGTGTTGTCTGTGCATTCCAATGTCACCTCCTGGAAAGGATGAGGAGACCTGCAGCCAGTGTCTGACCAGACTCCAAAAGGTGTGAGTGGTCCTGACCCCTGGACAGAGGTGGGCTCTGACCTCCAGGTCAGGTCAGCCCAGGTCCTGTTCACTGTGGGTCCCCAGAATTCCGACTCCATCCTAGTTCAGAGTGAGCCCGGGGAGAGTATGGGAGCTGTCGAGAGGACTCCTGGTTCAGTGTTGGGAGAACTGTCCATCAGAGGGATGCACTGCCTTGGGAGGAGCCATGTGTCCCTGGATTCTCAAAGGAAGGGCCCAGGAAGGAGTCTCTTGAGGCTTTAGTGAGGGGACACTGGCCTAAGAGGCTGGTCTCCAGAACACCCTGTTTCCCTCCATCACAGCACTAGGGAAGAAGCCTCAAAGTCATCTGTGTCCCTGCCTGTCATCTACTCTAGGCCTCCCCACAGGGCCGAGGAACTGGAGCGTCTCCCACCTGGAGACTCAGCAGGGGATCTGTGGGTTCCTCTGTTAGGGGAGGGGAGGCCCCATGGCCCCTCAGCCCCTCTGAGATGGAAGCACAAGCAGACCCTGGGTTGTCCTGTCCTGTCCTGCATGAGAAGTTCCCCTCATTCCCCAGAGCTCCTTGGGCTGGGAAGGATCTGCAGGGACCATAGCCAGGTGTCCCCATAGACCTGGGACCCTCAGGGATGGAGAGTCCCCCCCTGACTTCTTTTGTGGTCAGGCTGGAGCTCAGCCTTGCCCTGGCGGTCACTCCATCTGGGATGGAGGATGCAGAGTTTGTGCCAGGTCAAGTGTATTTATGAGGAGAGGAAGGACATAGGTTGCCGACTCAGGTCTTTCTGGGAGACATGATGTCACTTACAAACGAGAGACAGGAGTCAGTGTTCCGAGAATGAATCAGGTTCAGACCCCTCACTGTTAGGAGGTCCCCGTCCTCTCTGACACTAGAAGAGCAAAGGCCCCATCCCTGGAACAGCCATGGGCACCTGCTGGCCTCCTCCCGTGCTGATGCCCGTGCCCCTGTGTCCACAGGGAACATGCTGTGACCTCAGGTGTCACATGGAGGTGATGTTCTTCTGTGGTATGGTTCCCCCCATCCACTTAATGAGTATTTGTTGAGCATCTGTTCCATGTCAGGCACTGGGCTGGGTCCTGGGAATCCCACAGAGAGCAGACAGACATGGTCCCTGGGCTCGAGTAGTTTCCCTGTAACAGGGAAATGGGCACCTGGTGAGCATCATGGAACTAAGGGGTTAACGATCATGGAGAGAAGGGCTGTGGAGGGACAGTATGTGGGGCATCTGGGTCCTGTGATGGGCTGAGCTGGTCTCGGAATCACAGGGAGCTCCCCTGAAAGTGCCCTTTTGGCTGAGACCTGAAGCTGAGAGGACGTCCCCAGGCAGGACAGAGGGTGTGGAGGCAGGAGCTGCCTGCAGAGGGAGCGGCCATCAGGTGGGAGACGCCAGGCTGGAGGGAGGAGCGGACAGAGCATTTGTGGGGGGCTTGGAGAGCGAGGAGGACTGTGGACTGAGCTGAGGCTGGTGAGGGTCGGACCCTGCTGGGCTGTGGGCCATGCTGAGGGGGGTCTGCAGCCCCCTGGCAGGCCTCAGGCTGTGGAGACTTTGCTGCCCTCTGGTGGACGGTGAGGAAAGCATGGACGGCAGAGGCACCACGTTTTCTTCAACATCTGTCTGTGCATTTCCCATGGGTTATGTTAACGCCTCATCAGGCTACAGCTCCGTGATCCCAGTCTCTGTTGCTCCAAGGATAGTGTCCTTCCTTGCTTCTCAATGCAATGCCCAAACTCAGATTTCTAGGAGCTCTGCCAATTTATGGTTGTCTGCAGTAGGTTGTGCTGTATATGCCCCCAGAGGCAGTGATGTCTGGGGCTGAGCGCTGGGTGGGGGTCTGTGAGCAGAAGAGAGAGGTGCAGGAGGGGAGGTCAGTGTCAAGGGAGCAGAGGGGGAGGATGGACAAGTCAACTTCACTTTTCACTCCCTGGGCCTGGTGTCAGGACAGGGGACCCTGGCTCAAGGACACACAGCACCACACCCCTCCCTCATACCTGGGTCAGGTGAAGTGGGAGCGGCTTCCCCTTCTGCTCACCAGCACCTGGTCTCACCTGCTGAGACAGCTTCACCCTCAGTCCCACACTGGGCTGCACCCCAAAGAGCCTGTTTTCCTCTTCTTCCTCCTCCCCATTCCTGGGTTTTCTTTCCTGCATCACCCCCTCCCTGGGCCTCCAATGACTACTGTGGCCAGTGGCCTCACCTGCATCCATTCCGGGCAGCTGTCCCTGTTGTCGCTGCCCCTGCACAAGCTCTGGCCTCACCAGCCTCTGACACGTGTTCTGAACCCTGGTCCTTCTGAAGGAAGATGAAACAGAGTTTGGTTCTGTCCAAGGTGCTGCACTCTCTGCACAGCCTGGGAGTGAGGGGCTCTGATGTGTCACCAGGAAGGAGGAGGAGGGAGCTGTGTCTCAGGAGTGCCCGTATCACAGGGGCTCCCTCTCCAGGGTGGGCTGTATCTGTGCCCTGAAGGCAACCAGCTCAGTGTCCACCAGCTCCTCCAGCTCCGTGTTCGTCTCTGTAGCTGATGCTAGCTGAGCCTGAGCTAGAGCCCTTCTTACAAGCTCAGATGGTCAGAGCTGTGTGTGCAGAGACCTAATGGAGGGTCCCATATCCTCACGTAGAGCATCTAGGTGACAGACTTCATTGCCTCCCCTTTCCTAAGCCTACAACAAGATCTGAATAGTGGCCAAGATTCCAACTTCTCCATATCCTTGCCAAGACTTGTTATTTTAAATTTTGTTTAAAAAATTATAGCTGTAATAGTGGGTTTTGTCAAACTAAATAACAAACTGAGAGGCTCTCTAAAAGAATAATGAGTTTAATTGGGAATGGAACACTGTAATAGGAGTACATGTGAGATAATAGACTGTGTGCATATTCAGGGAGGGAAAGGAAGAGAAGGGTTTTGAAAGAAAAACGATGGAGGATTATATAATTGTTTTGGGATAATTATCCTTGGCTAAAAGGATCAGTAAGAAGGGTGATGCCAGTCCAAGGTTGGGCAGGCGGTTGTTGGGCAGATGTCCTCGCAGAAATATTTTTTGTGCAAGGTTGTGGTTTTGCAGTCTTTTGTGATAGTTCCTGTTATCATACGTGCATGAGAACTCCCCTTCACGGCCTTTCCTGGCTCTATTTGTCAGTGTTTTTAACATATGTGACTCTGTCTTGATTTTGACAACTTTCACAGTGTGAAGTGGTACCTCCCTGTGATTTTCATTTGTATTTCCCTAGTGATTAATGATGTTGGGGACCTTTTCATGTACTTACTGATCATTTTTCCATCTTTGAACAAGTTTCTTCAAGTCCTTTGCCCATTTTTTAATTAGGCTGTTTGCCTTTTTATTGTTGAGTTGCAAGGGTTCTTTATGTATTTTGGACATGAATCCCTTACCATATATGACTATATGATTTTCATATGTTTTCTACCATTCTGTAAGTCGTGTGTTCACGTTCTTGATAATGTCCTTCATGCACAGAAGGTTTTAATTTTGATAAATTTTAATTTGTCAAAGATATGTAAAGCAGATATTATCAGATCTAAAGGGAGAAAAAGACACCAACACTAGTTGGGGGACAACACCCTAGTCTCCACATTGGACAGATCATTGAGACAGAATATCAACAAGGAAACATATGATTTAAATGGCACCATAGATACTAGTTGGGGGACAACACCCTAGTCTCCACATTGGACAGATCATTGAGACAGAATATCAACAAGGAAACATAAGATTTAAATGGCACCATAGACAAGATGGACCTAACAGACATATACAAAGCATTTCATCCAGCAGTTGCAGAACACACATTCTTATCATGAGCACATGGAACATTCTCCAGGATTGACCATAGGCT